TTATTATGCACATGATTAGAATAAGATCCATATTATACTTCTCTCAACAACAAGATGTTTTACTTCTTGATAAATTTTATTCCATTTCTGAAAACCAAGCCCTCCATATCTTAGCTGGGTAACTTGAGAAATTGTTTAAAATAAGTTTTCCTAAAGATGTCACTTCATTAAACAGAACAAATAGTTTCCAAAGACATCAGGTGACCTTTGTGCTGAAACTACATGTTAGGCTTGCCAATGAAATCCTTGGTGTGTTTGCAATTAAAATGTTTTTGTTTGCTATTAATGATGACAATCTTTAGTAGAGCCAAAGCCAAAACAAATGCGGCTAAGGAAGCAGAAAATCAAGAAGTAGAGATAAGCAATTTGGGGTTTAATTTGAACCTCTTCCCAGAGGCAGGTATAAATTGATCAAGTATAAAATAACGAGTAATTTTCTTTTTATATTGCTACAGAAATAATTTGTGGAATGTCAAGCATCAGCTTTCTCAAAATAATGTTAATCACTACACCTGAATTACTGCTTTTCAAGCCTGAACCTTGGGAAAATCCACTTATGTCTGATAACTTCACTTAAAAAAAACCCAAAAAATACACATAACAAAAAATTTGTGTGTTATGGGTGATAAAGTACAAATATTTAGCACATCCAGCTACTCTTGAGATTGACGAAAAGCTAATAGCGTGGTTTTACTCCCTAGGAAGACATTTTAAAACTTCAAGTTAAATTAATTTACCCATTTGTGCATTTCTCATAATAATATTTGGTCTTATTGTCTCATCCCAAAGGCTGCCTCTTCTCCCCTGAGGCGCTAAATCTAGGGGGGTGGAGGTAGGGAGTCTTTCGTATAAACTCTGGCTCATTTACTAATATAATGCGTTAGAATTTTACCGTAACATAGTTTATCCTCAAAGAACCAGGCCATTAGGACAGTCTCCCACAGGCCCATCTAGACATTGTTTTAACCGGGGGGGAAAAAAAAAAAAGCCTCACTCTAAAAAGTTTCACTTTCAAAAAGAAAAATGCACATTCTCGGTAAGCCTCTTTCAGAGTCAGTCTTTAGGATGGAATGGCTATGCCATGTGCTGAAACAAAGACAATGCTCTAAGAACCAGCTACTTTCTCTACTCTCAAGGCTGCTAAAAGTCCTTACTCAGGCCTTTGATCTCCCCTGGGAGTCCTTGCATCCATGTGGAGGCCAATGTCTTCCTCAGCTGTCTTCTCCACAAATTCTTCCAGCAACTCTGGCAGGTACTAATGTGTTTACTTAGGTGTGCCTACTTCTCAGAGCTAAGAGCAGTCAGAAATTGTTTCACACGTTCCAAAGTCATTGATAATAAGGAGGAGGAAAAAAAATCCCAAGAATAACTCTTGGTCCAGGAAGGATTCTGGGTCTGCAAGTTGGAGCAGAAGTGAGTTGAAATTTCTCTTTCTACCTAATATGTCCTCTTACAAATCCATTAAGCATTTTCAATAACTTAGCGTTCCTGTTGTGGATAAATCTACTAAGAAGGAAGTTGTAGACATTAATTTCATGGTGTGGCTTGTCCATCAACACTAGAACTGTTGCCAAAACTATAATAGGTTCTTTTTTAAGAAAAAAAAAGTTGATCATAATGTAAAGGGTTGTGCAATTAAAGTGAGCTTATGTGTCTGCCTTTCTCTTTTTCAAGATATAAAACTAATAGATTGTAAATGTAAACAGCAATCCATGTCGTTTTCCAGAACCCCAGTGGTTATTTATGTGCAATAGTAGACTTGCATTTTTCCCCTCTATTTCACGGCCTTCATCAAAGACAACCAGTAGTGCAATATCAGTGTTAAAAGCCTGTTTGTTTGCCTTTTAACCCAGGGGAGGTATTTCTGCACATAAGAAATTCACGACTCTCTCATTCTTTTCTCAAGGAATAAAGCCAGTCTGGTGTGATTTGGGTAGAGGGACATGTTGGTAAGTACTTAAAAAACGATTAGTGTTTTTTTTTCCATACACCTGTTCAGTTTCTTAATTAGAGAATTCTTTTTCTCCCCATTCGGTCACATTTCTCTCTCAATGTCTAGGCTTTAAGAAGAGCAACAAGATTGCTTCTGTAGTGAGGGTCCCCAGCCATCTTTGGGGTACTGGGTTTCTTGTTTGCACATCCCCTTCCCTTGATCTCTTCCTGCTCTCATCCCCTGACAGAGGTTTAAGAGTTTTGTCTCCTTTGTTACTTTGGTGAGCCTGGAAACTATTTTCAGCACTTGGGTCCCAAGGGCCTTCAACCCAGGACCCGTGTGTTCCCCTTCCCCTAGCAAGTCCCATTAAGCCACCGGGTGCTTGTTTTTTCTCCGCTTCTTTAGTTCCACTAGTCCGCGCAGCACTCTGGTAAATTTGTTTTGCGATCACCTTACAAAAGACAGCCCTAACCTCTGAGCGCTCCCTTTACTGACAGCGCCTGAGTGACAGCGTCTTTCCAGGGACAAGACCTGAGGGAAAGACTTCTGGTCGCCCAGTTCTGCCCTTTTCTGTTCAAGAAGAAAACCAACAGAACTCGCCCTAGAGAGTGCAGACTAGAAGCCTACTTTCTAATCCTGTGTGATCTGGGGCAAACTGACCTTTGTTTACTGTCTTTCTGAAATAGATCTAACAATAGAGTCATACTTGAGACTGGTGAGCATCGCATGCATTTACATTTATTTAACGTATATTATGTATTGCTTGAAGCAAAGCTTGGCAAACACTAAATTCACCACAGTTGTTGGTTACACACATGCCAGGCTGGCGAGACTGCAGAAAGTGCACCTTAAGCATTTGGTGGAGAAAAAAAATTAGGGGAAAATACGCAGATGCATGATCTCAATTGATTGACTGTGAACTTTTAGGACTAACATAGTGGTCAGATCATAAATACATCCCCTCTGCTTTAGCTTTGGCCAAACTCAAGAAAATGATCATACTGCTGCTACCCAGAGACTGTGGGTCCAATTGGCGTGAATTTCCTAGCGAATGTCCCCATCCTCCTTTTATTTCCCAGTAACAACATGCCGGCCACTGGAATATTTCCATTAGCGTGGCTAGAATCGTCCTGAGTCCGAGCAACTTGACTCCTTTAACTGCTGTAGCCCTAGGTAGAGTATTCATTTCAAAGGCATCATTCTGTTAATAACCCTAAAAAAAAGGTGCAGACGGATTTCCCACTGGTCAAATGATTAAACAGCCCATTGGTGTGTGTTGGAGCCTTGTTTTCAAGAGGGCAACTTTTTTTGTTTTAGGGCTATGGGAACACGGAGGAGAGGGGACCGACCACAATAAATACATAGTAGAGAGTCTCTAAGGATGACCTGGTCACTCACTCTCCCTTCTCCTTCATAGGCTTCATTCCGAGAGCCAATTTCACCTAGAAAAATCGTTGCACTTAGCTGGCCTCTTTAGATGAGGGACCAGCCAGTCAGGGCTTGCTGTAGGGGGAAAGAAATTAGGCTGAAAAATAATAGAACGAAGCCTCTACCCCCACCCTTAACTTTGAAGCCTTAACACTTACTGGGCTGGATGGTGTTGGTCCAGGTGAGAACACTCCCTCTTCTTTTAGTGAGTCCTGGCCCAAAACCCGGGACTATCTGTCTAGTCATGGAGGAACCATTTCTCTTAAACATAATCAGTCCCTCCTCAAAGTGATTTGAGATTCTGTTAAGGGTGGAGGAGAGGAGGCACAAGTTAATTGATTCATTGTCACTTTAATGGTAGACTTTCCTCCTCACCATCTCTGCAGCCAGGTTTCAAAGGCCCAGTTGCTATTACTTTTCAAGAAGTCTTTCGTCGCAGATGTGTGTGAAGTTACTGGGAGTTTGAGGAGTTAGAAATTTTACACGAGCTGAAGAGGGATTGCTGTGCCAGCAGCTGGGATGCATCTGTAACGGTGTTAGTTTGCCTAAAAGCAGAAAATTAGCCACCCTAAAGCCCAGCTTGGCTGTTTAGTCTGTCCAAATGACAGGGCGGAGCAGAAAGACAGGCAGAAAGGATCCTCGCCCCTGGAACGGGAGCTCGAGGTCTAAACTGGGCCTCTTTGCTTGCAGATCTTTGGAATCGGGCTTCAGTTTTAGAGAAGGCCTAGCACAAAGCACAAAGAAGGGGGCATTCAGTAAAAAATATGTGCAAAACGAACGGGGAAAGGGGAGGAAGGAATTGAAGACGCGCTCCTGGTCACCTGGCCTTTCAGATCCACCTCTTCTTAGATGGAAAACCGCGAAAGGGTCTCATTCTGGGGAGGGGAGAAATGGACGTCTTTACTACACTTTCAGGAACTCAGAACCTTAAAAATGACACTCTGATCCGAATTTTTATTTTTCTCATCCATACAAAAGACATTCTTTCAAAAAAAAGTACCTCTAGATTGAAAGTTTCCCTTTAAGTTTTTAGCATAATAACTCCCAAAATTACTAAGTAAAGTTCATGACAAACAACTACAACAAAAGGCAATTTCTCTTGTCCCAAACTCCGAGAAGGGAGGCCAGTTTCTGGGATCCTAGGAATGTAGCGGGTACTATCCATTGATGATGATTCCTTTTTCAGGTGGACGAGATTGTTGAAAGTCGCAGAGGACGCATTCCTGGGGACCATGGCACTCACTCTGGGTGAATGCTTGGTGTCTTGTACCGGTTGAGGGCAAGTGAGAAGGCTGGGGAGCGCCCCCTCCCCAAGCACAGCAGAACCACAGTAAAACCATTAGCGTCAAAAGGGGCAGTAAACAGCAAATTGTCCCTAGAGAAAAGGCGGAGGTTTACCCAGACAGCCCTGGCGGGGGTTGCGGTGGGATATGCTAATAGAGTCAGGCCACTGGGGCTGGCCTCCCTCTCCTAAGAATATATAAAGGGCCCCCAGCCCAGAGCGGCTGGCCCAGGCCACCAGGCTCCTGCCCTTGTTAATTACAGGCATACTGACCAAAGAAGCGCCCGCCCGGGTTGCCCCGCAGCAGCTGCACCAGGCTCCCCTACCCAGATTTCAGCTATCTCCTCTGTCCCTATCGCTGTTCTCCAAGTGTCCAGTTCCTCCACAGGACAATGGACGTGATGGACGGCTGCCAGTTTTCGCCTTCTGAATATTTCTACGATGGCTCCTGCATTCCGTCCCCTGAGGGCGATTTCGGGGACGAGTTCGAGACGAGAGTGACCACCTTCGGGGCACACAAAGTCGAGTTGCAAGGCTCTGATGAAGATGAGCACGTGAGAGCGCCCTCCGGCCACCACCAGGCTGGCCACTGTCTGATGTGGGCCTGCAAGGCGTGCAAGAGGAAGTCCACCACCATGGACCGCAGGAAGGCGGCCACCATGCGCGAGCGGAGGCGCCTGAAGAAGGTTAACCAGGCTTTTGAGACCCTCAAGAGGTGCACTACGACCAACCCCAACCAGAGGTTACCCAAGGTGGAGATCCTCAGGAACGCCATCCGCTACATCGAAAGCTTGCAGGAGCTGCTGAGGGAGCAGGTGGAGAATTATTACAGCCTCCCTGGACAGAGCTGCTCCGAGCCCACCAGTCCCACGTCCAGCTGCTCCGATGGCATGGTAAGAGGTCCCTCTGGTGCCCCCTTGACCACCCCAGTCCTTGTTTAAAAATCTTAAATCCTCACTTAACACCAGGTGTGAGAACAAGATTGTCAGTGGCCATTGGTGGATAGTTGGGAAGTTGAGGGAATGGACATTTGCTGTCAGAGAAAACAATAATCATTTAGGAGATTTGTTGAGTGGGTATTAATCTGATTTCTAGCCAATGTCTGTTTGTGAAAGTTTGGCATGCTAGGTAGGTGGCTGAGATTAATCAATCCAATGCTATTTCCAAAATATCCCACCAATGGACTCAGACACACAGGAACATCTAAAGGTAATGGTGAGAGGGTCCCACTGCCCCAATTTTATAATAAGTTAATGGGGTGGGACATAAAAAAAAAAAAAGCCCACATTAGCCTTCCCTTACTGAAGCCTGACCGAAGATGATGAGTTATTATTTTTGGAGAGAATTTGCTTGACTGCTACTAGGTTTTAATGTGTTTTTGCCCTGGGAAAATGTTCTTTCCCTGAATTAGTGTGGCTTCCTTCTACCTCAATCCATTTTGCATGGTTAACCCAATGCACATTGCTGCTGAATTCCATCCCCCTTTCCTCAGGCTGTAGCTTCCATCTTCTCCAAGCACAGAGATTAACCTCAATGCCCTGGCAATTTGGTGAGGGCTACCCCTTCCTAAATCAGGGAAGCTGATGGAGAGTGGTCAATTTATGAAGCTAGTGGACTGGCGTGGTCTCACTCGTAGATGAGAGCATCTTTTGCCAAAGCCTGAAATAAACATCTTCTTTTGTGTCTTATGCTATAGCCGGAATGTAACAGCCCTGTCTGGTCCCGAAAGAGCAGCAGTTTTGACAGTGTCTATTCTCCTGATGTACCAAATGGTAAGAACTGATGACTTCAGAGAAGTTTATGGGCCAGTTCAACTTCACAATTCAGCTTGGTAAAGCATAATTTGCTTTTCCTGGACAGATCTAAGGACAGAAATAGGAATAATGGTTCTTATGGAGATGGTTTAGGGGGTAAATATCAAAACAAACAAACAAACAACTCCCAGAAAACCAAACCAAAACAAAACAAAACAAAACAAAAATCCTATACACCTCTCTGCTTTGAATTTTCCCAACACACTTTTTTTTTAAACTATAATGTGACAAGAGGGCATACTGTCTGAGCCATCCCCATAAGCTACACGTTTCTACACCAGCGTTTCTGTAGCCATTTGACCTCAGTGTCAAAGGGACTGACCTATAGTTTAAATGGCAACATAAACAAGTCTCTTTGAAAAGAAAAAAACAAAACAAAACAAGTCTCTTTGGAGATATATGTATATTTTCATACTTTTCTCCTTCCGTCCTTAGTATATGCCACAGATAAAAACTCTTTATCCAGCTTGGATTGCTTATCCAGCATAGTGGATCGGATCACCTCCTCAGAGCAACCTGGGCTGCCTCTCCAGGACCCTGCCTCTCTTTCTCCTGTGACCAGCATCGATTCACAGCCTGCAACGCCAGGAGCTTCGAGTTCCAGGCTCATCTATCATGTGCTATGAACTAAAACACTCCAACCTCAATCAGTTCTGCCTGGAGGGCCTTTTACACAGGGAGAGCAGAGGTCCAAAAGGTCTAACAACAAGATGACTTGTATATAAAGATTTACTTTCAGCTGTAAATTTGTACATAGTCTCTTGCCACTTTATAAGAAAGCGTATTTAACTGAAAAGGCACCACTGCAATGAATGCTTTTCTATATTCTTTTGTTGCTGTTTTATTTGTTTTAGGTGCATTGTTTCAATAATATTGTTTCTAATAGGGAACAATTTCATTAAAGGTAGCTTGTTGCAATTCTTAACTTATATATTTTAAAATTGTTTATCAAAATATCTGATGTTTAGATCTTCACCTTCACTTTTTTCCTCCAAAACATTAGAATATCTGAAAATCAGTTACAAGGAATTTTAAACATATTTAACATTTGCTTTTCTCTTTAATCCTTTGATTGCATTAATTAAAAGTATAACAAAACTGCCTAATGCTATATATTTTTAATAAGAAATACATTCTTTTGATATAAGCACAAAATAGTATTTTGTGATAATTTCAAAAAATGTTTGGAAATTCCATCATAAATAAAAATATTTACTACAATACTAGTTTTGGGTAATGATGTTTTTTTAAAGACCACACAAAAGGAATTAGCTGGGGGTTCTGGCAGCTTAGTGGTAAGAAGCTGTGCTGTTAAGCTAAAGGCGCATGGTTCTAATCCACCAGGTGCTCTGCAGGAGAAAGATGGACAATCAACTTCCATGTGATTTACTGCCTCTGAAAATCCCCTGAGAAGTCAGCTATGAGTTGTTTCTGACTCCACAGTACATAACAAAAACAACAATTAAATAAGCAGTAATTGATATAAGCGTTTTTATTTTGGCTGACAGTATTAAAATAGCTGATTATGTAGATAAATTACTAATGTTTACTATCTGATTGATAACATTAGGTTATGCTGACATAAAAAATTACAGTATTTTCATATGAGATAGATTTATTTCAAGAGTCTGCTAAGTAAAATATTCTCCTTGCCTTAGTACTATACTAATATAAAATTGTGTGAATGTATATATAATATATATATATGTATGGGGAGAGAGTGTATTAAGTTTTTCAGTAGTACTGTACATTAACACACATTTCAGTAAGAAGGATGTACAGTAATGCATTGTGTTGTATTGATACATATTGCCTTCAAGTCAAGTCATAGCAACCCTATGAACAAAAGTCCTGAAGCCCTACCTGTCATAGTATGTTATGTGCCATTGAATCACCTGTGATGTACAGAGAGTGACCCTATGTACAGCAGCTCTGAACCCTGCCCTGCCCTGAGCCAGTTTCCTTAATTCTGACACACCAACCCCCATTGCCCCAGTTACTGTATCAATCTATCTCATCTGGGGTCTTCCTCTTCTGCATTGTCCCGCCATCCTTCCAAGCATGATATTCTTCTCCAAGGACCAATCTCTTTTTGCCACATGCCCAAAGTAAGTGAGACAGAAGTTTCACTCTTTCCAAGACAAACCAATTTGTTTTCTTGGCAGTCCATGGTATTTTCAGGACTCTCTTCTAGGACCACAACTCAAAGACATCTATTCTACTTCTGTCATCCTTAGTCATTTTTCAACTCTGAAGCATAACTAGTAATAGAGAAGACAATGGCCTGGATTCGGCACACCTTTGTATCTAGACTAACATCATTGCTCTTTAGCACTCATGACAGCAGATTTTCCCAATGCAATTCTTTTAATTTCCTGACTG